CGAAGTTCATCCTCCATAATTATATGTTTCTATACTTTCTAAGTTCTAAAGCTAATATATGTAAAGGATCGGACGTGCATTTTATTGGTGGAAAAACCGGGTTGTTTGTTTTTCATGATGCAAAAACTACGGCGCGTGTTTACCTTCTCGGCCAAAAAGCAAACTTTTTAAAATCATCAGTCTTGTTCGAATTTGAATGCCTTATAGGTGATTATCAGTGAATAAAAACCGAGACGAAATAGTCGAGGTTTTTATTCACAATAATAACCAAGCCTGATTATAACCAACAATAATTGTTTTAGTATGTGATTTCGTATAGGTGATTATTTGGAAAAAATTTAAAAATACACATTTCTTCGTCATTTAATTGACAAAACTGCTTCGGCCGCCATTTCGAAAATCGCTTAGCTGATTATCGCGTTATAATCACCTCAATGGCAATCAATCAGTGTAGAGAATTTTCAAAAATCACCTATGTAATTGTACTAATTATAGGCTTAGCACCAACAGATACGCTATATATAGATGAATTGGCCGATCCCATGGTCAAATCAAAGGAATTTTTTTATTTTCAAGTTTCAAGGTATTTGATGAATATACATCAAAGATAAAAATAAACCGGAATAAAAAACTCGGCAGAATTAGCGAAGTGCTTATCTAAATATTTGTTTCAATATTTGCTTGCTTGCATGCATGCTTATATCTTCGTCACTGACATTATCAAATTAGTCTCTCGCCTACTGTCAGACCTCATGCAGTAAAAGTTATCCGCCTCAGCTTCGAAGGATAATGTTGAGGCATCATCCAATAATTTGTTATTAGAATAATGACATAGGTGATAATTGAAAATTCTCCACGGTGATTGGTTGCCGTTGATGTGATTATAACGCCATTTTCAATTTTTGTCAATTAAATGACGAAGAAATGTGTATTTTTTTATTTTTTCTAAACAACCACCTATCAAATTATACTAGAACAATTATATTCACCGATAATCACCTCGCTTTCGGCGAATAATTGTTAATTAACTTTTTTGAGGCATGCAACTCGTAGTGAGTCATTAAAACGCAAAGAAGGGCTTCATTTCAAATGATTTACATTTCGTGGAGACTGAATATAAATATAAGCTGATTTCTTTTATTTATTTGCGGCGGGCTTACAGTAAGACTTATAACTGTAAGGAAAATCTAAGACGCTGAAAAGTTACAATGTCACCGATAAATCTGGAAATATTATAGACAGTCTGAGCCAAATGCGTGATATGAACCGTTTTTATGCAATACTTCCTGCTAATCTGTTATAAGTTTTATCTCGCTTCTTTTATTGAAGATCTGAACTGCACTATATGCAAATTATAAGTAGAATGTAGTTAATCAGTCTTTATACATGTTATATTAAGTAATATTATTAATATTATATGTACAATTTACGGGGTTCTTAGTCCTAAACTGTACTAGTATTATACCGCTACATAATATTGTATTGTATTCATGATATATTGTGTTGAAAAGTATTCAAAATACATGTATTCAATTTCTGTTTGAGATTCCGTAGTCTTTTATAGCGCAAACCTTCCTCCCCGGTGCAAAATCAATGAAAAGTTCGTTTATGCCACTTTTGCAAAGACAAAGTGATTCCAGATTATAAGCAAACTAGTTTTTGTATTAAATTTGCAACTGAGCAAATCTAATCAAAATCAGTAATTGCATACCATTTCCCCCGCCTGCAAAACACCATGTAAAGTTCTTGTATTCCAAGCGTGCAAAGTTATTTGTATACTTTTTGCAAAGTTCAACTTTTAATTAAATTTGCAAACGTGCAGTGCAAATTTGGGCAAAGTTAAAATCTGCTAGTGTGACGTGACCAATTTAGAACACTCTGTCTTGGGTACGCTGTAGAAAGACAGTCACGTGACGAAGCAGCATGCTTGAATTTTGTACTTTTTACTAGCTTTATAAAAACGATATTTAAACCGACAAAATGTAGTATTTCGCGTAATAGTTGAACGGGTAACATAATTTGGAGCCTTCGGAGAGATCTCGATATACTTCGAGAGAATATTGGACAGTAAATACAACGTTATTCGTTTAAAATGAACGCGAATTAGCCGAAAATATCGAAGTTAAAAATCCAAGATGGCGGGCGAAGAGAATTTTGAAAAACTTAACTTAAAAATTGAGGAGGACATACTTTCCCTGGATGTAAATGAGCTTGTTAAACTGGCAAATAAGTTAGAATTGGGTGAAGAAAACATAGAAGGTAAAAGTCGACGTGTTTTATCTAAACTAGTGAGGAAAACTATTTACGAAAATGTGGAATTATGTCAAACTGTCCCTAAGAAAGTTGAGTATTTACACAAGCTACAAGAGCTTCTAGAAATAGAACCACCGCCACTGGAAGACGCAACTGAGGATACTGAAGATAATACTGGAGATGTGGCTGCTTCTCAGAGTCCAGCACCACTGAAAGAAACTACACCAAAAGTTGTAACTGTAAGTAGTGGTCAGTCAAGTTCTTTTACTGTTTATCGTAGGGAACTAAAGATTGTTGGCATGGTAGGCCCTGAGAGCCAGAAAGACAGATTGTCTTTTGTTAGTTTAACCCGTCAAGTCGAGTCGGGGAAATCTAAGGGGTATACTGAAAGCGAAGTAATTGAAGCAGTTATCCGAGCAATATGCCAAACACTCAAGCTTAGGTCTTATGTCGAAACAATGGAAGGACTAACATTAAAGAAACTTCTCCAGATACTAAAAG